TCTCTGAGGGGAGGGGAGGGGAGGGGTGGCTTAAGGTGTGGATGGGCCGGAGAGACAACTGGGGCAGTGTAGTATCAAAGTTGCAAGAATCTTGATCGTATAGAAGCGGTCAGGAAAAAAACATTCTCGCTTCTATCAAAAGTCTTTCCAAGGTTTCAAGCATGATTATTTCATGATACTTGCCTCTAGAGAGATTGACAGAGCTTCTTGTTCTTGGTGAGAGCGGGGTGAGATATAAATGTCAGCACAGGCGGCACCGAGTAGATGGAATTGGCAGAACTCAATGGGATCTGTATGATTAAGAAGCGAACTCCTTGAAAGATAAATCTGGAGTGAGTTGCGGTAGAAAACCTGCCGAAGCATGTTTATGACGAGCGAGTTATCAAAGCTCGGATCGTCTGGAGGCAGCACACTTGATTCTGATATCATAACTCGCTTCCGTGCGCTGGTTACCTAGGTAGAAAAGTAGCAATAAATAGTCTCTCATTGACGTAACTAAATTGAAAGTACTCGGTTAATCTAGGTATTTGGAGAATCAAATAAGCAAATGAAATAAAAATCCTATTATAATTCAAGTAGTTGCCATAAGAGATGTGAGCTAGTCATTTGTTTACTCTAAACCTAGAATCATGAGACCAAGAGGAAATATTTCTGATAGGACATACCTACTCGAGTACCTAGCTAGTGAAAGGGTCGCCTTTCTAAGGACTAGCGAGATCTGAAATACAATGTAGGTAAAAAACGTTCTGATTAGATGTATATACTAAAAACTAGACAGGACTACAATTACGCTTTGAAAAATCTAGTAATCTGTTTGGACTTAGCATGTTCTTTAAAACTTACAAACGTTGTTGTTTTATTGTAAGACTCAAACAGGATATATCATAGAAAACATTCACTTGTTTTCAGTAGTGTAGGTAGTCCTGAGGTAGTGTTTTGTTAGGTGGCCTGTGCTTCTCCTACTCTGACCCCAACCCCGAGCGACAGAGCTCCCTCCACTCCAGATAAGAAAAAATTATTTTATTGCCTCAAGCCTGGACCTAGACCACAACAAGCCGAGTAGCATGCTCAGGTTTTGAAGAACCCACCATCACCACCCCTTTCCGCGATTTTCTGGTCATTGGGCATAGAATATAAATTGTAAGCAGTCCCAATTTCCGAACTTATCTCTATGCGCCGCAAAAACTGTGCACAATATCTGCGTCTGCATGGCTATCGAGTCCCCGTCTAATCAGATTCACAGCTCAAGCCCAACATGCCTTCCTCCAAACCCTCCAAATCCTCCAAGCTCAAGCCGACCGACACAAAATGGTCATGCGAATTCGACACAGCACGCAGGGAAAATCTCTTTCGACATCCACCAAAGGATCACTCTGCATACCCTCTCCTTAAAGATGCCATCGCGCCGCATGTCGAGTCCTTCAATGCTTTATTCGGGGAGGACGGGCTGATTGCGCGGGGTCTGAAGGATATAGGAACAAAATACTACTTTGACGGAGATGCTCAGGCTCCTATATCATCCAGAAATAAGATGTCAATTCGAATTAAAGAGGTCATCGTCAATAAGCCTCAATTGACCGACGCGAACAAATTTTCCAAGACAAGATCTATACTGCCCTCAGAATGTAGGGAAAGGCATGTCACGTATCGTGGCAAAGTGAGTGGGCGTTTTGAGGTGAGAATAAATGATGGAGATCCACACGAAATGATACGGGAATTGGGGCAAATGCCTATTATGATGATGGTATGCTGAACTTTCTCTTCCCCACGGCCTCTTAGACTAACAATATGTTCAAGTCAAGTTTATGTCATCTCCAGAACAACTCTCCGGATCTACTAGTACATCGCAAGGAAGAAGCGGAAGAACAAGGTGGATATTTCGTTGTGAATGGTATCGAAAAGATTATTCGTCTGCTAGTCGTCAATCGCAGAAATTTTCCAATGGCAATCGTGCGACCTTCATTTGTAAACAGAGGACCTACCTACACCGAATTCGGAATCATCACGCGATCAGTACGACCAGATCAAACCTCACAGACCAATGTTCTTCATTACCTAAATGACGGAAACGTGATATTTCGATTCTCGTGGAGAAAGGCAGAATATCTTGTGCCGGTGATGATGATTCTGAAGGCGCTGGTTGAAACCAACGATCGAGAAATCTTTGATGGCATTGTAGGCCGAAATCAATTTGGCGAGTCCAAAAAGGAGTTCTTTTTCGACAGAGCAGAACTCCTCCTTCGGACATACAAAAATTACGGACTTTACACCAAGAGCCAAACTAGAGCCTATTTGGGAGAAAAGTTCCGTGTGGTGCTCGGCATTCCAGAAAACATGTCCAACTACGACTGCGGAACTGAATTCTTACGAAAAATCGTACTTGTCCATCTTGGCAACCTCGATGTTACGGAAGCCCAAGATAATGATAAGTTTAAGATGCTTCTTTTCATGATTAGAAAGATTTATGCTTTAGTCTCAGCAGAGTGCGCCGTTGACAACCCCGATGCGGTACAAAATCAGGAAATCCTGCTCGGCGGGTTTCTCTATGGGATGATTCTCAAAGAGAATCTGGAAGACCTCCTAACAACTGGGATTCGGGCAGCTCTGAGAGACCATCTCAGAAAGGTCCCAGAAGAAAGTTTTGCCACTCCAGAATTCTTGAGGACCCTTCAATCCAAGATCCTCCCGAGGGTCAACCACAATATGGGTGCAAAATTAGAATATTTCATGTCCACGGGAAATCTTGTCAGTCCTACAGGTCTCGATTTACAACAAGTTTCTGGCTTTACCGTTGTGGCTGAAAAAATCAATTTCTTACGGTTCATTAGTCATTTCCGTATGATTCACAGAGGAAGCTTCTTTGCCCAATTGAAAACCACCACGGTTCGAAAATTGCTGCCCGAAAGTTGGGGGTTTTTGTGCCCAGTCCACACACCCGATGGAAGTCCTTGCGGCTTGCTGAATCATCTGGCTCACAAGTGCAAGATTCTCATTAAATCATTGGATGTTTCTGAGATACCACGGTTGATTGTTGATCTTGGGGCTGTCAACTCAAATTCCTCTTCAACCCAAGAGAGTGTAGTCATCCAGCTGGATGGTAGAATACTCGGTTGGTGTACACCGAAACAATCTACATTCATCGCGGACACTCTAAGATACTGGAAGGTCGAGGGGTCTCACAATGTGCCCAAAGAGTTAGAAATTTGTTATGTGCCAAATTCGCGAGGCGGACAATATCCCGGAATCTATATGTCTTCAGGCCCATCAAGAATGCTTCGACCAGTCAAATATCTACCTTTGGATCAGGAAGACTTCGTTGGCCCCCAAGAACAACCATTCATGTCAATTGCTGTTACCGAACCAGAAATCATCTCTGGCGAATCCACACATGTTGAGTTTGACCCAACCAATATTCTATCGATTCTCGCCAACATGACACCATTTTCTGACCACAATCAATCTCCTCGTAACATGTACCAATGTCAGATGGGTAAACAATCTATGGGAACTGCCGGTACCGCTATTCGATACAGGAGCGACAATAAAACGTACAGGCTACAGACCGGCCAGACTCCAATCGTTCGGGCACCATTGCATAACGATTATGGATTCGACAACTTTCCCAATGGTATGAATGCCGTAGTTGCCGTCATTTCGTACACAGGTTATGACATGGACGACGCTATGATAATCAACAAGTCTGCACACGAACGGGGATTTGGACATGGAACCATCTACAAAGTCAAAAAGGTTGACTTGGAAGAAGGTGGTGACAGGTCTAGGTCTTCAAAGAACGTTAAGAAACTGTTTGGCTTTGCACCTGGATCTGAGGTCAAAGCTGAGATAAAGTCATATCTTGATGATGATGGATTGCCTCACATTGGTCGACTCATTGGAGAGAAAGATATCATCGCCGCCTGGCATCACGTCACTCAGGACGGGAACGGCAAATATGTAAACAAGGACCGCATAACACATTACGAAAAATACAAGGAGAAGGAAATCGCCTTTATCGAAGAGGTTCGTTTGATTGGAAACGAAAATGGAACGGACCCTCTGCGATCCATCTCCATCAAATTCCGAGTACCCAGATCTCCAATTGTTGGTGACAAATTCTCCTCTCGGCATGGACAAAAGGGTGTCTGCTCTCAAAAATGGCCTACCTATGACATGCCATTTTCGGAATCTGGTATGCAACCCGATGTTATCATCAATCCTCACGCTTTCCCGTCTCGTATGACGATTGGTATGTTTATTGAGTCACTTGCTGGCAAATCGGGAGCGCTCCATGGTCTTGCTCAAGACAGCACACCTTTCAAATTTGACGAACAAAATACTGCTGGAGACTATTTTGGACATCAACTCATGAAGGCAGGGTACAATTACCACGGGAATGAGCCCATGTACTCTGGTATCACTGGGGAGGAATTACATGCCGACATCTACATTGGTGTTGTCTACTACCAACGTCTCCGACACATGGTCAACGATAAGTTCCAAGTGAGAACGACAGGTCCAGTGACACAACTTACCGGCCAGCCAATCAAGGGTCGAAAGAAGGGAGGTGGTATCCGTGTTGGTGAAATGGAGCGTGACTCGTTACTTGCCCACGGAACGGCCTACCTCCTTCAAGATCGTCTCCTCAACTGTTCCGACTTCCAACGTTCCTGGATCTGTAAGGCATGTGGGACCTTCCTCTCGGTGCAACCCACCGTCTCTGCTCTGGCCACGCGACACACCGGGACGGGTATTGTACGTTGTCGGAGATGCGCGGTCACTGTGGATGGTTGGTCACGGGGAGCGGACATCTGGGAAGATGGCAAGGGACAGAAATACACGGGTGGCGAGGATACTACGCTGGTGACGGTTCCGGGTGTCCTCAAGTATCTGGATGTCGAATTGGCGGCTATGGGCATCAAGCTCAAGTATAATATTGAGCCGTAAATGGTAAAGTCCAGGAGTGGGTAATGTGAGATGAGATGATTGCAAGATGGTGTTCTTGGAGTTTGTGTATTTACAGGCAGGGGTGGGGTATCTCATGTTGATTTTTTCACATTTCAAAAGGTGCTGCTACTCTGAAAAAGGGTGCTACTGTAGGAGAGTTATTGGTGTATCGTGAGTTAGCTATAGATGAATAGATATTTCTACGGCTCTGTCTCTTGTATGTGGATCCTATCTCAACGCGCTCGCTTCCTTGCTTGAACCACCATTTCATGAAGCTACTTGTGAAGCTTCAAGTGAAGTACTGTAAACTCCGAATTATCAACCGCCTGCAAACCTGCCATCGGAAAAACAATTCGGTTACAGTAATAATAACACTTCAAATCAACATACAATAATCTCATGAATTTAACAGACCGAAATCCTTTTCCTGCGCTCTCGCGCTCTCCTGCTCTCCTGTAAAGCCAAGTCATCAATCAAGATTCAAGAATTCATTCACTCATCTCGTCTCGTCTCATCCACAGACTTCGAAGCGAGATTCCTTCAGCAAGAAGCTCATCGTATTCTTACTACTATACAGTAGCAACACCACTTTATTCCCACGTTCGCCTACCAAATGCTACCATAGGATTTTGCCCCGCCAGATTGTCCTTGAACGCCATAATGCTTCATATCTGCCTGTAGCCTGCTTTAAGACGTAAAATCGCCCGCGCCCGCGCCCAGATACCGACCGAACCATATTACATTTATCCCTAACCCATCACATAGAAAAATTTCCAGCTTGATGGTCCGTTGGAACCGTTGACACCAAGCGCCAATTCATCTCTCAACTCCCATCATACCACGATCGTCCCCCGCATGCCTCAATCATCAATCATCAGTCATCCACCCCCTCCTCCTCCTCCCCCACATCTCCACCTTCTTTCTCCCGCCCTTTCCTAACAACCTCCATCATCTCCCTCAACTCCTTCATCGGTAACGGCTTAGTCAAATACAGATCCATCCCCACACTAAAAGCCTCTTGCCGCGTTGCCGGATTTGCCGCCCCAGTAAGCGCAATCAACTTGGTCGGCTCGCATTTCATATCCCTCTCCCATCTCCTGATACGTCTCGCACTCTCAATCCCAGACATCACTGGCATGCTGATATCCATGAGAATCACGTCGCAGAAACCGTTGAGTTTCTTGTAGGTATTGAGTGCTTCGAGACCATTCGTTGCTGTGTAGTGCTTGATTTTCAGTTTGCGCATTGTCGCGACAAGGAGTCTCAGGTTGATTTCGTTGTCTTCGACAAGGAGGACGCGCATCTCTTTTGGTCGTGTGGGCGCGGGGTTTGAGGGTTCTGGTAGTGGAGATGTGTGGTCCGGGGGATTGGTTGGAGAAGGAGACTTTTGGTCTCCCAGTTCGAAGTCTTTAGTCTCGATAGTGTCCTGCAATACCTTGTCCACAGTTTGTGATACAGAGGGTCCAGCTTGATTGAGAAGCTCCCCGACGGTATTTTGTCCCGTGCGAAGATCTTCTTCAGTGATGTCACTCTTACAAAAAGCGCTATGGAGGACTTTTGCCAATTTATGAGGTACGTAACTACATTGTCATTAGCAGGCTTTCAGTAACAAGAACGGTTGGATGTTCCTTACGATTGTTGTAAGTAGAATATTCGGAACTTTCCACAATTATGCAGGGGTGCTGGTCGGTGGTAGCCACTGCACAAAACTATTGCAATAGATTTACCGGACTTCGAAGGCAGTTGGTTATCGTAGCTGTCCAAAATATTCTTGACACCTACATCACCTAATCCAGGATCCATGATGACTACTAAATCAATACCAGAGGCTTCGTTGTCGAGTAGAACGGGCTCCATGTTGAACCAATCGATGAGCATTGACTGGGCGGTAGATTTGAGCAACATTGCCGCTTCCGATTCTGGAGGAAGAATACCAGTAGGAGTTTCAGTGATATCCGGATATCTGTCAAAACCATCTAGTCGGAACTTGAATCCTTCAACCACCTCACGGACTTCGGAAAGAATATCCACATCCCCTTGCTTAGTAGGGATTGAATCCCGTGCCGTCAAAGGCAGCCTGACAACAACTTCTGTCCCTGTGCCCAATTCAGAAGTGAAGTGAATCGTGCCGCCGAGGTCTCGAATGATATGTTGAAGAATACTCAAGCCAAGACCGCTGCCATTAACTAGAGAGTCCTCCTGAGCAAATGGTTTAAAGAGTCGATGCTTCAAAAACTCCTCAGATATTCCTATTCCTGAGTCTCGAACTTTGAGTAAGAGTGATTCTCGTGAATCTGGACCTGAATTTGCCCCTCTGTTATCGATCTCCAGAGAGATTTTTACAAATCCTGCTTTCGTGTATTTCACTGTAGAAGAGCCCAGTCAGAATTTTCATTTGCTTGGATGATAAAAATGGGGAGCATTCAGCTGGGGAAATCGGTTTGCCGTAAACAATGTACAAAGGTTTCTAGAATCATCCGACTGAAGAGATAAATCCGAAAATACTCACGTGCATTGCTGAAAAGATTCATCAAGATCCGACTCCAAGCTCCAGGGTCAATATCGAAGACCCAACTTGGTCGCCACTCTATATCCGCAATGATATGGATAGGACGGTCGTCTGAGTTGACGAAAGAGGAGCGCTCGGCTATCGGACTGCTGACGTATTTGACCAGATTATGACCGGCGCATATGCTTTCGATCACTTCTTCTGATAATACCAGAATATCTGTAATTTCCTCCACTTCGGCTTCAACTGTGATAGGTTTATCAAGCGAGAACTTCTTTCTGCGTTTGCCGGCGGTCTTTGGTATTCTGGTATTGTTTTTTGACTTTCTATTTACTTTGGAAAAATCAAGGACGTGGTTGATAGTATCCAGCAAGACCTTGCCAGAGGTATGGATATTATTTACCATATCCTCTTGCATCTCGGTTAGGGTTGTTTCTTGTAGGAATTCAACGCTCGCCAATACTCCATGAAGTGGACTTCTCATTTCGTGAGATATACTGGAGATGAAATCGGACTTCATTTTCTCCAAAACCTCTGTTGACCATTGAAATTAGCCTATTACAGGAACTGCAGGATAACGCGAATGGAACATTATGAACTATCAAAATGCGGGAGCTGTGTGACGTGGAAATGTCTCGTGGTGCCAAAGCAGCGCGCAACAGCACTCTGTTGGTTTTGTTTCGAGGCAAAAGTGAAGTGAAACAATATTCAAACAAAGATCAAAATGATAACTTGCAACAACTGTGCTATCAGTACAGACAAGTCACAGTGGTTGATAGCAGATTTCTCATGCAGCTTGTCAATAAAATTCTCTGAGTATCACTTCATGGCAGAGAGGACAATGAGTTGTCCATTTTGAAGGTTAAATGACCCGAAGACACTAAAAAGCAAACTTCTTCCGATAGAAATGGACCAAGATCAAAAGATAGGAGGACTTACGAGCTGAGATACGGGATATCTCGGCCATAGCACTGTTTCCAAAGGCCGCAAGGTAGGTCAGATCTTCTAATGGGCACATGACTCGGGTTGGAGAAGTTGACCAAATCAAGCTACCTGAGAACCAACGTTCTCGATTTTGATCCCACAGTGGAAACCAAAATACACTTCTTGCACCTGGTAAGATCTTCAATATGGCTTTGGCATCGGCTTCCTTTGAATGTCTGTGCCTACGTCTTGGCTTTTCTTGTGGCAGAATCGGCTTTTCGGTCTGCATATCAGTGTTACTCGTGTATGAAGATTCGCTCGAAGAAAAGTTTCCGTCATGATCGAAGTTGAAGATTTTACCGTGTGGGTATCTCTTCAGAAGTCTTTTCATCATCGACTCCGGTAATTTCCCATATTCCTGTGATAGCGCGTGCCCACGGAGACTTGAACGGCGTCGGGTACTAAACCCAAGGATATTACAGGACTTTTCGAGGCTCTCCAAATGACTTGTAGAATCAGAATGACTCGATCCGCTAGTGTCATTGTCAGATGTAAATCGCTTCCTGGCATTTTCATCTTCACTGGTAACGGTGGCCTGATCAGTGTAAGCACCCGGTGGCTTATCATCCACACTTGCGCCATCCAAATTTCCGCCAAATGATCCTATACTTGCATCAAAGAAGATCACTCCTTGAACGCCAATCGCCTCTCTGATAAGGTTGCTAGCTCTAGAAAAGACGGCTTTCATCTCACTTGACACTAGCGCGTCCTGTAGCCCTTTGGGTGCATCAGAGCTATCTGTTGTTGGGGGAACCGGTAAATCGAAAGATACAGAGGATTTGTTTTCGTTATGTTCCGCATTTGGGTCCGCAAGATTCTCTAATGTAGTTACAGAACTATTTCGCTCCCTCCAAGTTTGAGAAGACTGTGCAACAGAGCCATACGAATCGGCTGAATTTATATGGCTATCTACTCTTGAGAGCTGGGGTCGATTGTCTCTAGAATCGTCTTTCGATGTCCCGGAAATCGACGATGGTGTTCGAGAAGGTTGGCTTTCGTCTTCTGGCCATTGCTTGGAATCGAAGCCTTTAGGCAAGTTTGGGACTGGTTCCTGCACCCCGAACTCGTCATCCGCCAGCTTTTCGAGTACGGAGGCATGTCGTCTTCTTTTCTGCGAGGGTTGCTGGATCCTATGACCCCACTTTAACCACCAGTCTCGCAAGCTTGTCTTTCCTTCAACAAACAAGGTAATGGCTTTTAGCATTCTCTCGGACCGATAGTGCTTCTTCTTAATCAACCCTGCCTCAAGATAATCCATCACCGTCACTCCCATATCAATCATAAATTCAACGTCTGTGTCCTTCAAGCCATCGCGGGGCTTATCATCTGCTACGATATAATTGCCTATAACTGCATTCGAACTTGGAGCGCGCAAAGGAACAGCAGCCAAGAATCGAACATGTGGCTCGCCATTGACTACACAATTGTTCTTATATCTATCGTCCTTTGTGAGATCGGTGTTGACCGTGTACTCGTCTTCAGTACGACAAAAATGATCGACTAGTTCGGAGCCAATCGTGGAGTGTGTTTCCGAAGGACATGCAAATGCACCCACACCATGCCAAAGTTTGTCTCCGTCGTCGTCATCTCTCTGTAGAGAAAGAGCCTGACCGGACTCTGCCAGCAAGAACTCGGTATGGCCATGGGAAAGGGTGATGATTCCGCGTTTAGCGTTAAGACGCAGGGCTCCGAGCTGCGCAAATGCAGTCAAGCAAGGGTCAAGTGAAGCTTTCGGTATCTTGACTCCATCGGCCGTCCTCTCCATCGACTCTTCATCTGGCTGGTAGTATCTAGTGCAGTAAAAGTACGTTAGATTTCAACATCCTAACGTGTGAATGAGCACGCTCGCCGGTTGCTGACCTGTAGAGCTCTCGCTCGCGCGCCGCCGCCGAAAGTACTGGGGCTGGGTCTGGTGCTGGTGCTGCTTTCAGTGGCATTTTGATATTGCATATTCGGAGTGCTGGATTGTACGGTACAAGTAACTATTCACGAATAACGAGGATGACGATGAGGAAATGCTGTGGCAGTAGCAGGGTCAGAAACTGAAGAGCATAGTCCACGGGTACTTGCACTGGGAACTTGGAGTAGTTCAGTTCAACGTGGGGAATTTAGTAAATAGCCGTAGCCATCGCCGTAGCTGTATTCTTGACTCGTTGGTAGTAGGAGTAGCAGTAGCAGTAGCAGTCAATTGCTGGTGTATTTTCTGACTACTTGTACTTGTATGCGCCAAGTAGAAGCTAAGTCTAGCTGCTAGGTGCTAGGCGCTAGATGTCGGCCGATTAATCCGTCAACGTCGGAATTTCAAATTCTGTAGCTCCGCCGTGATGCCCAATCCAAACTCGGAACTTCGGCACTCAGTCCTCTCAACATAGACAGCTTAGGGTCACCAGGCATCATGCTCCACAGCCTTTACGGAGGCTCCGTAGCTTCGCCTTCACTCGAGTGTCAGATCAGCTGGAAGTCTGTACTGAGTATGAAGACAGTATCGTGGATGGACGGGTATCAATGCTCGTCCACACTTGGCATCCTTCTACCAGAACCCAGAAACCGGCTTTGGGATTCCAGGTGGGCGAGATCGTCTTCAAGGGTCCTGGGCGAGGTTAAAAAGCGGGGATCGGCATCTTGACGAACTCAAACAATGCCTACCAGTACGGACCAGTCTCCGTACACAGCAACCAACATGAGAAGAGATATGCAACATCAGCCAACTTGCGAGTATCAAAGGAACTCATTTCTGGACTTGCATCCTCATTTCACACCTGCAAATATCCACGTATTGGTTACTTTCTATTGCCTCGGTCCATCTGCTCTTGTTGATAATCCTTCTACTTTGTTAGCAAGTATCAAGGCATTTTGACTTGCATCTGAGCAAGTTCCAAGAAGTTACGATACATGTGGGAAACCTACGAGAGTAAAGAAGGATTTGTAGATTAATGCTCTTTACTATATTCAAGTTAGAGGTTGATACAGGTCCAGCTCTAATCACTTCAATCACTCAGATACCCTTCTTGATCCCTTCCAATTGTATACGCGGTTGCAGAAACGTGCACTTCAAGATGGCTTTTGGAGGCTGAATCGCATAGAAAGTGAATTTAGCTTAGAGATGATCTGTTTCGCTTATCTACAATGCATCTGTAGATAAGGTTAGGGGGAACCTTATTCCACGCCAAAGTACCGAGGAGATACTGTACTCGTTGAGTGTGTATGTTCTAGACCATCTACAACAAACATGAGAGAAACAGACTCTCACTTAAGTGCAGAGAGTTGTACTTAGTAGTAGTGGATGGAGCTAGTTGTGGACAGCTGGATATGTGGTGGATAGAGCAGGTAAAGTCTCATGTAAAAGTAAATGTCCCAAATTCCCAAATTCTCAAACGACATTTTGAGTTTAGATCTAGGGATCTGAAGGGTTGTGTACTGAACCGGTAATTAACCCATACAGTAACAGTCTCCTGTCTTCTTTTTGGCACACTTTAAATGCAAAGGGGTCCTCGGCAGGGTCTACAGCTCCGTGCTGCACAAAGTTTTACCGGACGCGTATTCCAAGTGGGCACTTTTTGAGGCTCAACTACTCGAGAGCAAGTTTTATTAGACAGTCAGCTTTCCTACAAAGGATCTAGACAGCTCAGGTCTTCCCCCTACGTTGTCACTTTCTGATATACCTCCACATGAACCGGACAATCTGATTACCTTAGACGGCTATATTGTAGGGTTGTAAGATTACCCTGCCTATAACAAGTCGTATACAGGGAAGGGGACGCGAGCTGTCCAGACCCTTATTCCAAATAAGCTTTGAAGTAGACACTTTGACTCCGCACCAAACGCACTTGTTTCAATGCGTATTCTGCTACCATACTGTACAGTACAGTCCCCCGGGCTTACTGTATTTTCCAGAAAGTGTGTATTTTCAGATGAAGAGCGGGTGTGTTTTATTTACATTAGCGGAAACCTTTAAAGGACTATGTTATACAGCGCCACCAGCGGAATTTTCGGAAAATGTTTACGCAGACCAATCTTTGGAAACCAGGCTCGAATACACATGAGGTTGTTTCACTGACTATACAATGCAGTTTTTTAATTCGAACTTTCCACTACAGTAAGTAGCAGGTCTTAGAGGATAATAAAACACTCTCCCTCTCTTTATCTGAAAATTCCACCTTTGCCAGAAACTAAGCGCTAAGGGACTGTACAGTCGCGGCTAACCAGGATCTCTCACTTCAAAATGCCAAAGGGCGTTCGATAAGAACATCTCTTCGGACTAGTCCATCAATCGGCGGGCCTTAGGCTCACTTCTCAAACGGAGTTTGAGCACATTTGATGTTCCCGTCCTAGCCGCTCCAAGCAACATCTGTGTTCTCGCTTTAAGAAAAAAAGCTTGGGGCAGCCGTTCAAGCAATGCGAGAGAAACATCTGAACCCTTGGACCAGATGTCGGATAGTCTGGAGTCCCTTTCATGGGCCTGCGGTCTTTAGTTCGTCTTCTCGCGCTACCGGTAACTGAACTTGGATACGTTGATTGATTGGTTGTGGATGTACGAGGACTCTTGGGAGAAGTCGCTTGGATTTAGCTCCCTATGCAAAGCGAAGAAGAATGTGGGTATAGTGTTATGTTGGTCGCTCTCCTTAGCTACAGTACCCAGTCCCGAAGAACGACTGCACACTACTTATTTCTACTACATATAAAGTATACCCTTCGAGTCTGTATTTCGCTCTCCCACTAGCGAAGCGGGAGAACCCCTATTCTGATGAACTCTGCTGCTCATTCCATTTGATCGTATATGGAAAAACATAACTTGGTTAATTAAAGAGGTTTTTATACCAATGTAGCATTTTTATGTGTGAATTAGCCTGAAACAATAGTATTATATAGGCGGAACACGCTATTTTATAGATAATAGTACTCATATTAAACTATGAAAGTTATACTTATAGTACTTGTAATTAAATGCATAGAAATGTGTAGTGCAGCCTCCACTACAGAGTTTCTAGAAAAGGTTTAAATAACCCAATCTTTGCGAACCTAGCTCAGATATATAAAAGGTAATTTACTTGTGATATAGTCTTTCAATTATAAGTTCCGCTAAATAGCGGGTCTTAGAGGTCTAAGGGTATTAGTAGCATACTCTTCCTCTTTATCTAAAGATATACCTTTTCCGCAAACACAGCCTGGAGGGCTACGGTACCTGTAGCTAACTTATATCCACATGGACGAGGAGATGCTTTCCAAATTTTATAAGATGTTAACTGGACATGAAGTCTCTCAAGACAATTCATACTTGTTCCCAATTTGTAAGTTACTCGGCTTTCTTGTCTACCTCACACAGCGGGAAACTCCCTAACTTCCGAAGAACTGCTGATAATGCGACAGTGAGTATCAATACAACAAGAATTCCAATAATTTCGCTCATTGACCTTCTTTACCAATTGGTCTAGTCGCACTTCAGCGAAGAATGACATTGGTTTTCTGCGGGTCGTGAAGTGAACAAACGACAACCCCTCGCTAATTATTACAACCACAAGCAACCACAAAAGGGCCATACTTACTTCCAGCTTATTGAAACAAGGAATGGGATGGGATCAGCTCGAGTCCCAAGATATAAGGTGATAGGAAACACTTAGGCTGCCAGTGCAACAACCAGGTAGCAAACTCGGCACTACTGGAGGCTCACATTGTGTGATTTCTATAAGTCTTGGAATTATAATATACAAAAAGAATTTGTGGCATACTCTGAACCTTTTGGATACATGAGATTCATTTGCTGTGTATTGTGAGTTTTGTGAGCATGGTTAGTTTTGTGATTACAGTGGCTTGGACTTGGTGTGTAAAAGGAGCCTCAAGGCTCGCTTAAGGATTCGAAAACTAGTCACCAATCTGCTTGTAACCTCTCGGTCCACTTCAGCATATACCGAGCTTCTATCATACGTTGCAATGATGCTTGTATTCATAAGACCTTATTCTATATAACCCTTCCTTTACTTAAACTTGCCTGAGTGAAGTGTTCAAAAGACGTAGCCATTATCACTTTAACCACCGACAGGTGACCAAGGTAGTGAATTGACATAAATTATTCTAATTGAGCATGTGACTCTATACTACTTACTCGCAAGTCAGCAGTTTCTAATAGCCAATATTGTTTTCGGTAGCAGATTCCCCGAACCAAGTAATTTCCGCAGGTCAGGAGTTGTAAAAACCCATCTTCGCTTCCTCTTTGCACCACGAGTACGTACCTTAATGAATCGAAAGAGAGAGGGGGGGTATGAGAGAGCCTCGGATAATATTTGAGGATCCCAAAAGAATGTTTGTGATTGGATGGTATACAATGTAAATAAGTGAATGAAAATCAACAATGGCAGACTCAACCCCTCCTAATGAAACCCATCTTTTCTACCAATTACCCCTCTTTACATCTATATATACCATCCTTAGCACCACCTTAATTCCACACTCGCTCCCAAAGTTAAACTTCCATTCTCTTTGCATACAATTTCCTCTCCCAGTTCTTTCAAGATCCCCAATTACAGCGTCGACTTTCGTTTTCGGTTGGCATCTCTCTATCTTACCAGTATCATTCATCATGAAGCTCAGCACTCTGCTCTTCGCTCTTGGAGCCAGCTATGGACTTGTCTCTGCGAGGGTCCCTCTGGTTGACCGCGATAACGACCTTCTACATGGTGGAAATCCTGGTACACTTAGCGATGATATTCCACATGGTGGATATCCAATTTTCCCCGACTCAACTCGAGTTCGTCGCCGAGCTGGTTTTGGAGCGGCGCCTATCCCTGCTGGCACTACCTCCTCTGGTGAGAGCATTACTGAAAATGTGAGTCTTTAGTGGTGTCTCTTGTTCTGTATTCTATCCGCCTCCCCATCTCTTGCTGTGAGTAGAGAGAGCGCACAAATATCCCCATAGACCAGGTAGAACAACCATCCTAATGGTATTAACTTACATTCTCGGTAGTGGGGAGGACTGATCGTCAGAAACCCTCCACCCAACGAGCACTTCATCAGCGCCTCCGCCCAAATCCAAGTCCCAGACATCAAGCTGCCCGCAGGCGCACCGGACGGAAAGTACGTCACAACAATCTGGGTAGGAATCGACGGCACGGACGGGAATCCGGGTCTTTTCCAAGCGGGCATGGCCTTGAACCTCTTCAAAGATTCAAAGGGCACGCGTGTCGAGTCCGATGTCTGGGTTGAGTGGTTTCCCGATCCGCAAATTGGTCTTGACGACAAGAACGAGATTGATATCAAGCCGGGAGATTGGATCGATGTTCAAGTTGTCACCGACTCGAGTATTGAGCGTCCCTCGACGGGTACGATCAAAATTGAGAACTTCAATACGGGGAAGAAGGCCGTTAGGACTCTGCATGCTCCGCGACCGGGTTTAGAGCTTCCGGGGAAGAGTGTCGAGTGGATTGTGGAAAGATTGACAAGCAATGGTCAACTATCAACCCTTCCTGATTTTGGAACGGTGCATTTCATTAATTGCCATGCATTAACCAAAGGCAATGCGGGCTCGGGAAGTCCAGGTCGTGATATGTACCTGGATAATGCTGAAGAGATAATCCTCGACCAAAATGGAGTACTGATGACTAACATCGTCCGGCCTGAGAATGGTGTCGAGTTCTTCGTCGAGTACAAACCGCATAAGCAATGATGGGAGAGAGACAGATAGAGAGTTCTTCTTTGAAAGCTATATGTGGTGCCTCCTCGGTGTGGTACTCGAGTCCAATACTATTCATGCGGAGCGACTAATACAACAACCCGAGAGAAACCCACTCAACAAGCACATCCCACGTTTCCTTTACGCTTTCATTCCACCATTACACACGACTTATTAGCAATATCCAGACCAATCCATGCCTCACAATTCGCTACAACCAATGACTTCATCACTCGAGTCTATTCGACATCGACGCATTTTGCCCCTACAACCCAATTAGATTCAACGGTACACAACACTTCAAGTTTTCCATAGATTTACATCACTTCGGCTGTTTTGGGGAAGCGAGTTCAATTTCCGGAGCCTCAGAAATTTTGGATACTCGAAATGATTTGGAGCATGGTAGTTGACACTCGTTATAATTTCCAGAGGAGATCAGGACATGGTGCCCTCGTAGATGATAGTAATCCGAATGAGAAATACGTTCTTGAAGTCGAAGTCCCTTTAAGTGAAGGATGTTGGGGAATCAACACGTAAAAACCCAAATGAATGGGCGGGCCTAGCAAGGGAGTATACGTGAAGCAAATGAATAACGTAAAACACTTATAGACCACGGAAATGCCCAATTCTTGATTCAAGGTTGTCTAACATTCAAAGAATAGGACAGTGATGTTATAAGAAGTGCGTCTCTTCCAAAGAACTACCTTTGAGCTTCCGGTGCTTATCCAGAAGGAGTCTAGGCAATATTTGCGATTGAGTTTAGGAACCTTTGAAAGTCTGAATAGTGCCTCGTCGACTGCGATCATGCCGCTTCCCCTCAAAGCTTAATTCTGTCTCGGCTTTACTAACCCATCAAACATAACGTAGTAAGTGACAGTCGAATCATCATCCAGAGTAGAAAGTAACAATCTCTTGAGCCTATTATTCCCTTGCCATGGATCCCCAACCGACTTCTCCCCCTCGGCTTGCTCCTCGTCCTCGTCCTCATCTGCGTTGCCTTGGTCTCCCGGAGGCACGACACTCAATCCATCAAAGACGCCCGCAAATCTCTTCAGTGTCCATTTTTCTTTGATATGAGTAGGTAGTACCCATTCTCGTTCCGGCCTCTGCTCAATCTTCTCGCCGGTGTCATGCTCGGCTTTTATGATGGCTGCTTGTTCATCTGGATGGATATAGACTCTGGCGGGAGGCAATCCAGATATCAACGGGCGAGGTAACGGCTGCGAAGTATTTGGGGAGTGTGTATGTATCTCAAGCGAGGACCAGGAGTGCTGGTATTGGAGATTGTGCAGAATAGTGGTCGCGAGGTGGTGGAGGTAGGCGGGGTGGGGTGAGTCAGTGATTTTGATTTTGGAGACGTCGATTGATTCTTGGAGTGCCGAAGAGGTAGGCGAGTCGATGGACGTTGCCGAGGGCGCCATTGTGGTGGTTTAGGTATATCTTCTGGTCTTCCCACAAGAGAGATTTTGGTGTTGATGTTCTCAGAGCTTTTTTCGCAAGGCTGAACAGTTGTTGAACAATTTAATTCGCCGAGTTACACCAAAGCATCGTGATGGTGCAAGGCTGCGCGGAGTGGAGTGGCACCTTTGGGGCGTGGTTGTATCAAATGACCGATTTCTGAAGCACTCTTCAGCAGACTGTAGTTCATCCAACCGAATTATTGAAGCTACTGTACTGCACTCACTCGTACAGTAGTGGCAGATCAAGTTCTCTTCGACAAAAGAGGTTAGCCTCAAGACTGTGGGGTATCGATGAATGCTAATACCGTCCCAAATCTCGGACTCGGAGCGAAGGAAAAAAGGGAAAAAGAGAAGAAAAAAGGCCGTTGCGTGGAGTGACAAACTCAAAGTGGTCGTGATTTGTTTCCGACTCGTCGTTGCGAATAGACTTTTCTTCTCTTCACCCACCTGAGCCTTTACGAGAAGCATATCTACTACCGCTCTTCTTGGGGTCCACCTTATGGCTACTTCACAGGATGACATGTTCAATGTCCAGAGTCCAGACCCCGAAATTGCCGGGTGCATTGCCCGGGGGAGGGCGATAGTGGTCCTGCAACCCATGGAGGAAGCAATTCCCATACGATGGACCTCGAGGTGAAAATGCTCGCGTTGACGGTGAACTTATCCATCTGGCGTCCAATCGACTCTCGCCTAGCCCTTTCTTCTTTTCGCTGATCTGGAGCTGCCTCTGACGTCGTCATTTGGGCAACGCATCTTGCTTAATCCTTGCCGACAACAGCAGTTCACAGCCCCCGGTCTACCCCCTACCCCTACAGCCCAGCCAAAACATTCATCTTAAACATAGATCGCAGTCGCCCCCTCTGTCTTTGGCGCGAAAACGCATGGTCTATCCTCAACCATAATTTCACCATCATGTCTACTCCAGCCCCCGCCCCTTCCCGCGAGGAGCGAGACACTATAGCAACGATATCCCCGAACGAAGCAACCGAGCCATTCCCTTCCCTCGACGACTCCCCATCTCCATCTCCAAAATCTTATAACATCAACCCAGAGCCAGTCAGCAACGAAAACCGCACTCGAAGGGAGTCAACGACTTCGACGATAACCGAGCGATTGCGCAGCGCCTCCAAGAGTTTCCAAGAGTCGAACCCTCCGACTGGAATGTGGCTGGCGACCGGTAACATTGCATCATCAGTACCATCACTCAGCGACATTCGACGAGGCAGTTACGGCAGTGAAGGTTGGTCGGGCGAAGGACAAGTTCGAGAGAAGGAAAGACGAGAAAGCTTAACACGACGCGGAAGTTCTCAATCAGATCTACAACAAAAACGACGGACAAACTCAGGGTTCTCTAATACCCCACGAAGCCCTGGTGGCTTGATTGCAGAAAGTCTCCCTGAAGTCACGGAAACCGAGCAACATAATCTTCACGTTGTTCCATCCGGTGTTCCAGTTGACAGTATGGCGACGGTGACACTGAAGCCAGTCGGTAGCGAAGTGGCATCTTCGAACGAAAAAAGGGTGGAGGAACGACATAGCAGCGATACGAATTTGACTCCAAATACCACATCATTTGGCAAAACGGATCCAGCCTATAGAACCGAGCCATTCGATAACGGATACCAATTTCCACCGAAACATGATTGGAAAGAAGCATCAGTTATAGGACTGAAAGCAGCCTGGAAGTTTACCATCACACCTGTTGGATTTCTCATTGTTGTATATGGTCTCAATGTTGTCGCGTGGGGTGGTATGCTGTTTTTATTGCTATGCAACGCATCCCCGGCCATGTGTAAACCAACATGTAACGATATTAACTCTCCCCGTCGAATCTGGATCGAAATCGACTCTCAAATCCTGAACGCGCTTTTCTGCGTGACTGGTTTTGGTACTATTCCATGGAGATTCCGTGATCTTTATTATCTTATGCAATACCGAATTCAGAAGAAGGAAATAGGTCTTCGAAGACTTGCCGGTATCAACAGAGGTTGGCTCAGACTTCCTGGATCTGAAGCGCTACCTGCAGAATTTGGACCTGAAGAGGCGGAAAGCGGAGCTTACAACGTTCCAGAGAGCGCACTTGCTTTCCCATCAAAGAAGCAATCGAATGCTCCACTGACTGGGATTCGAGCACCGCCAACCAAGATGTGGAAACTCGATTTTGTTGTTTGGAGTATGGTTTGGAACACGTTCCTCCAAGCAGTCCTCTCGGGCTTCATGTGGGGATTAAATCGATATGATAGACCCTCCTGGAGTACGGGCCTCTTCGTTGCATTGGCATGTATGGTTGCCGCGGCTGGAGGCATTATGTCCTTTATCGAAGGCAAACACGTCAATGCCATCGAAGGGGTTCCTATTTCAGATGCAGACAGGGAGAGGCTCGCTAGAGACCGCGAAGCCGGAATCACTCACTATAACAATATCAAGGACGCAAAGCCAAAGGAAAAGAAGGCAGATGAAGAGAAGGGTCTCTTTAAGCGAAAGGCAAAAGCTGCCGAGAGTGTGCAGATTGAGGAGAGTGCTATTCGCGAAGGCACCACTCGGATTTTGAAGTAGAAGGGCATGCTAGGCGGAGTTCTCTTTCTTTCTTTTTTGGATACCCCTTACTAGTTGAAACGACTAGTTCTCGAGGTTGTTCTCTGAGCTTTCATACATATATATATTCTGGTTGGATTGATTAAGGACACACGACTTTAATGCGTTCTTGTTAGCGGGCGTTGGTTCATTGGGCTATAAGGCTCTGTAATAGATAGAGCCAAATCAAAATACGATGGCAGCGATCAAAGGCTTTGGACAATCTCGAGTACAAATGATAAACAAAACATGAATGCATGGCACTATTTACTCACTATTGTCTAACTAAGTAGTCGAGGCAGTCACCCTATGGGTCTTGTGATAAGACACACCCCTGACTCAAGCCAGGTCAGCGTCCTATTTCTGGGGTCTTGTGTTCAGCCTCGGAGCGGGACCTCGGGGACTTCTCTGACAAAGACGTCCTACGACAACTCTTGATATCGACAACCCTTTGCTTCAGATAGACACATTAATAATCAGATCTTTCCTCCAACACTCCCAACAGCTATACAATCCTGTAAACGCCTATGCGATAAGATACTCAACAACCCTCGACTTCAACACATATCGCTCTCGCCACGGCGAGTAAGCCAACACGATGGCTGTCAAGGCACTCATCCCGTTCTTGGTCGCCATGATGTTGGCCACAGGCGTGTCCAATACGCTCCTCACCAAGTATCAAGTATGTAGAGTCGTAACTGTATAGCATTGCTCCCAGCTAATTCCTACCCTTCAGGACAACATCTGCGTCCGGAACTGCGATGCTCCCAACCCCAAATCCCGCCACCTCTTCGAACAACCCGTCGTCCAAACAGCGCAGATGTTCATCGGTGAAATGGGCTGCTGGATCTTCGTCGGGATTTTCTCACTCTTTGCTCGTTACTCTGGAAAGCCATCAGCAGAACAGGAGGGATACACGGCTGTAAACTCGAATGAAGATGGTGTTGAACCTGAAATCGGTGACAACGCATCGATTCGGTCGAACTCGCCTTTGAACCCAACTGCCAAGATCATGATGAGGAAAGAAGAGGATAGAATACCGTTGGTTGGGATCAAGGTTCTCTTGTTGGCTTTACCGGCTATTTGTGATATTTGCGGGACGACCCTTATGAATGTTGGTTTGCTCTTTGTGGAACCTAGTATTTATCAGATGACTAGAGGCGCGTTGGTACTTTTCGTTGGGTTATTCAGTGTTATCTTCCTGAAGAGGAGGTTGCATCTTTTCCAGTGGTTTGCCTTAGTTACCGTCGTTGCGGGTGTTGCGATTGTTGGTTTGGCTGGATGGTTATATCACAAGGCGGATGCGCCCGAGACGGTCGGTGAAACTGCACTCCTTCTTGTTCGAGCGGCTATTGTCAAAATTTCCGAGGAGGTTAAGAAGCCTACTGCTGGGCTAGCAGTTATCGGTGTTCTTCTGATCGCTGGCGCCCAGATCTTTACCGCTAGTCAGTTTGTACTTGAAGAGTACATCTTGGAGAATTATGCCCTGGAACCACTCAAGGTCGTCGGATGGGAAGGAATCTTTGGTTTCTCAGTCACCGTCCTCGGCATGTTGGTTCTCTACGCCGGAATTGGGAGAACTCCAAAGGGACAATATGGATATTTTGATCTGGTCGAGGCTTGGAGAGAGGTTACCCAATACCGCGGAATCTGGGTTTCAAGTATCCTGATCATGATTTCCATCGGGTATGTATTCCCTTCTCATCTCATTAACAGAAAACTAACAAAGACATCAGAGGATTCAATTTCTTCGGCCTCTCCGTTACACGAACCGTCTCCGCCACCTCGCGCTCCACAATCGACACCTGTCGTACGCTCTTCATCTGGATCGCATCCCTCTTCCTCGGGTGGGAATCCTTCAAATGGCTCCAGGTCCTCGGATTCGCCCTGTTGGTCTATGGAACCTTTTTGTTTAATGGGTTGGTGAGACCTCCTTTGAAGCGATGTTTCGTTCGCGAGGTCGAGGAACTCTTGCCTGAGGAACCTATTGAACATGCTTAAGCGCTTGACGTTGTAATTACGAGAATGATTATGCTGGTAGTAGCGAAATTGACTTGAAGGGGAAGCGTTGTTTTTTTTGGGCATTTTTTTTGGCGTTATGGATTCTTGTTTTTGATCAATCGAGGCATCTTGGGAGTTGGAAATTGGGATCCTTTTTGTCGTAGGATATATATAAATTAAGATTTATTATTCCCTTAATCTACGAGGCCTGAAAGGGAGGTTCAGAAATGTGTTTGAGTCATCTTTTCTTTGCCGCTCCCTGGTCACGGATAAAGGCACGCTTCAAATTCGCTTGTCCCACAAACTAAACCAAAGTATTGATCAATACTTGATAACGAGATGTCTTACCGTAGATACGTCAAGATACATGTGAGTAACCATTGACACTTAGACTCCCGACAGAGCTACTTGAGCTGGCTACTTCCTAACAATGCCTGGGCCTGTAAGATTACAGTGACTCGGTGGTGGTTTACAGGTTACGTCACCCCTTTCCAAGCACCGCTGTGCCTGTGGTATTATCACTCTTGTTGTAATGGCTAGCTACTGTACAACAGACTAGACTAGGCTAGGAACGAGTGATGAGAGGTGGGTATTTGGTGTTTGTGAGTAAGGGATGTAGGTGTGAGTAGGTAATGGGTTATAGGTAGTGGATAGTAGGTAGTGAGTGGGTTGTGGTAGTGAATAGTGAATAGTGAACAGTGAATAGTGAATAGTGAATAGTGAATAGTGAATATTAAACCTTGTAATGAGCAGTAAATACTGAATAGTCCTAACAACCTCCCTACCTAACTAGCCTTACCAAGTATAATAGTTTTCAAATTACTATAAAAGTAAAAACTTATATTACATAACTACACTTCCTATATTAATAATTTTAATCAGGTACCTTATACCTTATACTACGCGATGCTATGTTGGTGTCTCTATAGCTGCGGTAGGATGTAGGATAGGGCATAAATATAAAGTTTCTAACCTATTTTATTATTTTCTATGCAAATCGTAAAAGGTTTAGGTAAATAATTGCCTATAGACTTAAAGAGATTTCTAGTAGGGAGTTTTACTGTTTACTGTTTACTATTTACTATTCCAATATAAAAGTAAGAATTAAAAAAACGAATAGGAAAGGGTTAAATACGATAGTAATCAGTATATGTAAGTAAGTACCTGTCACTCAGAGATCTTATGAAAGAAAGGAGAGATTAAGGAGTTAATATAAAGAGGAATGGGGTTTTTGTTATAGGGGAATGTGAATATGGGATGTGGAAGTTTTCTTAGGAGTATGTTGTAGGATTACTACTTGTAGACTATTTGGAATAAGGGTAGGAGGTAGAGGGATCGTAAGGAGCGAAGATAGATACTCGTACTGTATATATATATATATATATATATATAGTAGATAAAGCTGTATCTACCTACCCCGTAATACTAATTCGGGTGTTACACTTCTACATTATCTTATTCACTTGAGCTAGCTATAATCACTACTCCCTTCCTATCCTCGTATCTATCGCGGGTTCTTTGGGGAAGTGAGGGGTAACAGGTATTTTTATATTTAAGAATTCCCTTATAGTATAGAGAGGATATGGTTATAAATAGTATTATAGTAGGTAGCTAGGTATCTACTAGATTACTATTTATCTTGGTGTTTTATATATGCCGATCGGATAATATCCTTAACAGGCAATCATTATACTTATAACTCAATGTTCTCATATGGAATATCTTCCTTTTACAACGAACGTACTATGAGTAAAATTTCGAGTACTGTACCCTGGTTTTGATACTACAGCCTCCCTCCTGACCACTATCATACTTCAATTGTTAGCAATATCCACAATAGTAGATTAACACAGTACATCTCTCATCCCCAAAGGCCTCCCCTATCTACCTCATATACACCCCCCTCACCCCTAACCCTAACTCCATTCCTCACAATCATCCCCCACAATCATCCACTCAACCTTCTCCCATTCCCCACTCCTCATATCACATAGCATTCAAGCCCCCAGAAGACTCCTCAGAGTTCCCACGAGGTTCGGAGTCTTCAGATGTTGAAACTTGATGGTGAAATTTTGTTTGTTTGATGCTAAATTTTGTGCTGGATGTTTAGATACATTCTCGATACAGTAGACTAAGAAGGGGTTAGGAAGAGAGGGGTTAAGAGGCTTATATATAGTATTAACACTAAACAGCTCCTTGGGATCTAGATCTAGACCAAGGTCTAGGATCTATAAAAGAAAATACCCAGACTACAAATCCAACCATCCCGACCCACCCATCCACCCCCCACCAAACCCCAGCCCCCACA